TGCTTTTCAAACAGAAGTCAGATTATCCAAGGTAATTTTGTTTCAAGATCTTCAGGATGGAATTAAGAATTCTGTCATGTTGCATTGATTATATGTTGAAGTACAATGTTTGTAAAGACACAGACATGCATCCTGACACATTAGAAGTCGTGAAAATGTATTTTACAAACTGCCTTTTAGGTGCTGGGGTGTTTTGCTATGAAGCAAACATCTGTAAATGGATGGATGGATGGATGGATGGATTGATGGATGGATTGATGGATGGATGGATGGATGGATGGATGGATGGGCATTACTAAATACACAGCTACATTCTTCAAATTTACTGTACCACATTGGCTTATGCATATTTTTTATAATCCATCTGTCCACCCATCTGGCACAAGTAGATGAATGGTTAATTATGATTACTTAAGTACACAGAATGTACATGGAACTCAATAGTAAGAAGTCTTCTGTTAATTATGATATTTATAGTTTTGTTTTTTGTTTACCATAAATGATTGGATTGTTCACAAAAATAGGAAAGAGGAAGAGCTGGTTATAGAAAAGCACCACTTAACCAGTTTAACTTGTTTACTAAATGAAAGTAGATCACACAGTCCCTAAGTCATGCACAGAGTGACGTGCGTTCATTTAGCCTTAACTGGTAAGTTTTCATATAAGAATTTTTTAATAACTATTTGATTACTCACTTTTCCTTGATTTTGTGGGATATTACTAACTATACAGCTTCATCCTTTTCGCGAGGTGAGGGCTGAGGAGGGACATAGTAGCACTAAGTTACCACAGAGGCTCAACCAACCAGCTATCTGGCCCTGAGCCTTTAGTAATAGTCAATTATTCATTTACACAAAATGTAGCCCTAAGCATCTCAGTTGTGCAACATTTTTAGTTACCTAGCGTGTTCATCGTTTTTCACTACAAAAAATTGTAGTTCACGAAAGCAGGAAAGTGTCTAAATGGGGAGTCTCCCTGGAGACCAGGAGGCAGGGCAAACCACCTCGAAATCGGGCCTCTCAAGCCAAAGAGAGGAAGAGGAAGCCGTCTCAAAAATGAGGCTTTGTTAGGAACATGAGGAAGAGGGATCAGACTCTAAAATGAGCCTTCAGATGTAAGAATTATACGCTGTGCCTGTGTTCCTGAGAAGATCTGAAGTCAGATTAAACCTGGAAGAGTGAACAGAGCATGGTTAAAACCACACTTTACAACATCCACTATTTTACGCTGAAATATTTTGATACTTAAGAAACAATTCAAAAGTCCTTATGTCACAGGCATTTAAACCTGGATAATGTGGTGACACACAAAGGCTGAACTGAGGGTATTTGTTTGATATGGACTTTAAACAAAACAGGTTTTCACAGTGAATTCATTACCATCGTGTTCCATACTGTCTGATGACACTGATTAATACGTTTTAATTGGGTTTGGCAAGTAGAACATGAAAACAAAAGGGTGAAGGTGGGATGGAGACAGTGACTCAAATGTGCCAGATTTTATAGTTGCGTTGTTTATTTCCCAGCTCACCTTTCTCTGACCGTGTGTCTATGAAGAGTGGATGGTCAATAGATCAACCAGTGCACTTCAAAGACGACATTACATCTGACCAAGCCGAGAAGAGTAAGGATTTATATTCTGAATTAAATTTTGTACTTCAACAGTATTTGCTTTTAACACAGATCATGTTTAATAGCTATATGTTCATATATAAAATCCTAACTAGAGCATCATTTATAAATCACAAGATACCAGAGCATTGGAATACATTTTAAATACACTTTCATGGTTTTGTGCTAATATTGCAGCATTAAATACATTTAAAACTTCATCTGTAATCTATGAAGTGATCATATAAAAGACTTTTGGAACTCAGAAACTATATATTCATAGTTAAATGTTGTTTTTTTTTCCTTAAGTTATGTCTATACAGATAAGCCAAGAGAAAATGAAAGCCAAACTGAAAACTCGGTTTGAATTGACATTCGAAGGGGTCGCCAAGCAAGGAGATCCACGCCCTATGAAGGACATCTTTACAGAACTCTGCATCTCAGAGCACATAAGTGAAGGAGTCAATAATGAACATGAGCTGCTTCAGATAGAAAAAGCATCTAAGAAATCAGCCCCAAACACACGCACAATCACGTACAATGACGTCTTTAAACCATTTCCTGAACAACACAATGTCAGAACTGTGCTGACAGTTGGAATTGCTGGAATTGGAAAAACGGTCTCTGTGCAGAAGTTCATTCTTGACTGGGCAGAAGGAAAA